GTTACTCTGGCAACTAACTCAGCCATGTTGCACACATGAAATACTTTTTTAGTCCTCTTTTTCCTTATTATAGGTAAATGCTTGCATGTTGCTCTTCTCTATTGTACAAATATATCCTTGAAAAAGAAAATTCATCATGGAGCACAGTGAGGAAACTTAAACCGTGAACTTCTATTTCATGAATTCTCAGTGTTTTCCCCTCTTCTCCCCATCACCCCCACCCTCCCTGTCAAATTAATTTCTTGCTTTTCTTGGGCATATGCTCTCCCTTTTATTTCTGCCTCCTTCTTCTATAGGTTGGAGAAATGTCTGTGGGAATAGTGAATAGGAACCCCAATCCCTTGCTCTCTGAGGTGGGCCTCTTGAGCTTTGCACAGGTAGGGGAATTTCACAATGTGCTATCCTGATTTTTATTTTTCCACAGAGCTTGAGCTCCATCTGAGGGAGTGCTTTAAGTACCAAACAAAAAGGGGCTCCTCCTTATAGCTGTGTTTTGTAGGAAAGGGTTGGCCTAAGTGTCTAACTCTGGGACAGGGTTTGGGGCTCTAAACTGCAAGTGGAGGAAAGTGCATTGCAGCAGCTGGAGAAGAACAGTATTTAAGGCACACTTCTATATTTCTTTTTTCTTCTCAGCATTTCAATGACATATCTTCAGCTGCTCCCTGTTCTATATACTGACCATTATGGACACTGCTCTCAGCTATCCCTATGCATTATAGAGAGAACCTAGACCCCAGGATTAGGGATGAGGATTCAACCAGGCAGCAAGACACCTAAGGCACAACAATCCTTGGCGGTAACACTAAAATCCTTCTGTGGATAACCCTTTCTGCATGGTCCATTGCAGGAACAGAACGACTATAGGCTTACTGAGCCAAATCTAGTATTCCTACAGCTGAATCTATAGTAAATGAAGGTGCTTTTGAAGTGATAGTATGTACTGGTCACTATTTATGTTCTTTTAAAGTTGAGTGGTGGTGTCAGTGGAAAAACTTTTCCTTTTTAATGTGTCCCATTCACTTAATAGATAAATGCATATCTTTCTTGTGCATTACATCAGGCTTCTACTTACAGTGCTTTCCCTATGGCTGTGCTGACACCTTCTGCCTTAATTATAACGCTACAACACTGAAAGATTTAAACCAGAGTGGACATCTTGTCCAGCTGCCAAGTTTCCATTAGACACCCAGCGTCTATACGTCTTCTGCCTCTGCCAAAGTTGTCCAATACAGAATGATAATATAAACAAAGTGAGTTTAAATCCTACAGGGCATGAAAACTTTGGAAAACATCATCTCTCTAAATTTACTTACTCATTATTATACAGTATCTCCAATTTCATACAAGCAACTGGGCGTGTATGAGAGAGAGAAATTAATACAATGAATCCCCATCGTACTAGTGTTCAACAGTGACACTAATGCAACGAACTTGTGGTACCCTGGCTTTTGCAATGAAATGTAACTTTGAAACAATGAAAGAAGAAACTCCAGGAAATCTATCCCAGGTTTTAATCTGAGCCTATTGGATGCTGAGACAGGGTCTTGAAAGTTGCCTTGTGAATACCTCTGTAGAGTCAATATGATCTAGAAAGAGCAAAATGAGGTCCATCAGGTCTCTGGGCTGTGACTGAGAGAACACACCAACCAACTCTGCAGTGACACTACTTCTCAGCAGTGGTACTGTGGTGTGGAGCTGCTTTTACTGGAATAATTCTTCCATAATATGTGCAGTAAGCTCCAAAACCTGATCATGCACTCCCAACAGTCAGCTGCCTCCTGCATCTCCCTAGGCAGCCAGATAACTGATTTTGTGCTCTGAATATGTAAATAGGCAATTTAGGCCATAACATGTGTGCATTTAAAAAGGGGGTTTGGGGATGGAATTGTTTAGGGATATTGCTTTCTTGTTTAGTTTATTTCCTTATGCAGTAGCTGATCTGCCATGAGTGCAAGTGAAGGTGAAGAAAATGAAGACAAAAAGTCTGAAAAATTTAGAAACATTTTTCTTCCTAAACCTCAAGTACACATACATCACAACAGAGATTGTGTTGCACTGGCATGGGAGAACACTGTTTGTCATGTTCAATTTTTATATAATTCAATTACTGTTCTTCAAAAAGGTTATGGACTAGGTTTTCAATAACATTTGAGTCCCTTTACACACTGTAGAAAGTGGTCAAAAACCAGTGGAAATGGCCCCAGAGACACACCTATATCGGGGTTTCCCACGGTGGCACAGGTTGTCAAAATGACTTCACTTCTCACCCTAAAGAGAAGGGAGTTTATTGCTCCTAGGTGCCACATTTACATGTGCTCCCAGGATTACAGCAGGTTGAGGTGGGTCGGAGCAGCCTCAGCTTGCAGTGGTCCTGGGGGGTCAGCCTGCCAGCCCAAGACTGCTTCCCCCCCAGCTCAATGTGCTGCAGGGGGGCTGGCTAGGGCACAAGAGTGCTTCAGCATGGGACTAGGCGGCAGGTGGCCCCGCTACTGAAGCACCCTCATGCCCCAGCCAGCCATGTCAGGTAGTGCTGCGTTTTTTACTGCTGCAGATAGTATTTACAAGTACTACCCTGCTGCAGAGAAAATTAGTTTACTCCAGCTTAGGGACACACATCTAGATACATGACATTTACTGTGCAGCTAATTAGTCTACTGCGTAGTAACCATCTCATGTAGATGCACCCAGATTGTAACAGCTGCAGCCTGCTCCCACACTGCAGCTCTCTCCCTTGCTTTTAAAGTGGCTGAGAGGTATGTTTGTCCATGCCCAAACTTGGAGGCATCCTGAAGCATTTTTAATCTTCACACAGAGTGGACAGGGCCAACAGATGGGAGGCACAAAGTTGGCTGCCAGCACTGGCTGCCATTAGCAAGAGCATGGGGAAAGCTGTTTGATGAGGAACAGCAGTAAAAGGAGAGCAAAGTTATCCATTAATGCAATGTTCCAGCATGACACCAGACTCTCTTGTTGCTGTTGGCTGGGTTTATGTAGATAGATCAGGCAGAGCTACAGTTTAGACTGAGTGTGAAGGGAGAACAGATAAGACTGAAGTGTTACAGAAGCAAAACCCTGTTCATGAACATCACTAGGAAGACAAATGGTAGACAATCAGTAGATGTCAGCAGTGAACAGCTGAATTTGTGTCCATCAGTACTCTGCTATCTGGTGAAGTAAAGCATCCTAAATCAATAAGATTTGAGTGAGGTATGTTTACTCAGTGTCAGATACTGGTCAAGTAACTCAGTCAAGAAGCACAGAAATGCAGATCTCCTTGTCACCTGTCATATACCACAGTATAGAACGCATGATGCTCATGAAGGCCACAATGCCACAAACTGATTAATTCAGTGTTTTTTGCCACTGGATAGGGATCCAAGTCCTTGGGTAGAAAAACTGCTGAACATAGAAGCAGGAAGTATCAACAAATTGGGTAGATGGACAGTTAAAATGGAGTTGTCTCCTGTTTCATTTGCTATGAGCCTCGCACTGTAGATCCATATTGCTTGAAGGCCAATTAAAAGAAAAAACAGTGAAGCACAAAGGGCTGTCTCCTAGGGACTCAAAGGGAGCTACCTATTCTGACAGGCCAATGCAGCAGGAAGTTAATGCATCAGCATAGCTCTTAATTTTCTCACTGCACATTAGGAAAATAGGCATGCTGTATACATGAACAGTTCCAAATACCACGCAGTATGCATAGAGCAGGGATTCTCAACCAGGGTGTTGTGGCACCTTGGCGTGCCATGAGATCATTTCAAGGTTGCCATGGGGTACAATGTTAGCACTGTTACATGCGCTGGCATGATTCACAGGATAATGCCAGAGATTTCAAACAGGAATACATAGTGTTAAAACCATTCTGATGTGGTCATTCTGAGTTCTTTGCAACAGAAGAACTGCTCTATTATTTTTCTGTAGTCAAAAAATCAAGTGAAAACTAAGAGCAGACATTTTCCAAGGGGTGCCTCAAATCTATTGAGGGATGTCTCAAGTGTATTGAGGTTGAGAACCTCTGGCATAGAGCACATACTGCACCTCTAAGGAAAAAGCACCTCCTTTGGAGCACCTCTGTAATATGTTGTTTAGGATGTTTACATTTGAATGAAAGCATTGAAATACTATGCAGAAATCCAGATAACAGATGAAACCTAAAGATGTTGTGCTAGGGTTCCTTAAGATTCCTTAGTAGTTTCCTTCCACCCCTTGCCTCCCATTAGAGAAGTCTATGCCTGACTGATTCAAAAATGCCTCAGCTCACTGCTGTTAAACATTAGTAACGGAACATATGAATATTTCAGATTCCAGCATTTAAATAAGACTTGGTCTGCATCTGGGTATTAAAATAAACAAACACTTTGTTTGTAGCCATATGAAAAGAACTGCACAAAATCTTCACGTGCGGTGTCCAACAAGAAAATAACTTCCTTCAGAAAGCTACATATAGGAACTACTTGATTTTTTTTCCCTAGCACATAGTGGGAAAAAATGTCACAAAATGCGGGCTGCTCTCACTGCAGCAATTTCTTCCTTTACCACATCCTCTTACAGTGCCACTTCATGACCTCAGGTCATGGGACTGGTGATGGCACATGCTAAGTTTTCACATGCAAAGATGAGGAAAATCCATTTCACTGTAATTGGAATTACTGATGCACAAGCTCACCACATATTAACAGATCTACTTTGCAGTAGTAGAGTGAAGAAAAATTACTGCACCAGGCAGTCTTTGAATCATTGCTTCCAATAACAACACTGAAAAATGCTTGCCAAGCTGAAGGGGTTCTTTTCCTTGGGTGATAAAGCAGTATTGTTAGGCACTCGATGAGATAAACTCTGAAGTTAGTCCAAACCTGGAATAACCATGGCTTAAAATACATGCAGCATAAAGAACCTTCAGTGAATGCATACTCATTTGCCACTACTATTGTGTAAGTGGTGGGACACAGTTTTTAAAAAGAGATAAATATTACACATTATTTCGTATAGCAATCTTCCAGCTATTCCTTTTTACGTGCTTTAGGTTTAAATTTTAAAGTGTTGAATGCTCCCTCCACCGCTTTGGGTAAGTACATTGGATGTCTTTCCAGTCTCTTTCTGGAGCCAGTGGTGGTTCTCTGACTGTTTGTTTGAGCCTGGTTTGTTCCTTTTGCTGTTTGTGAGGTATCCTGTGAATGTCTCCGAGCACGAAGAATCCAGTTTGAATGTAAACTGTGTTCGCTAGTGCTGGTAGCAACTGAAAGACAGAAGATAGTCTGTAGTTAATACAGCTTTCCAATGAATGCTAATGTTCAGATATTCATTCAGAAAGAAGGATGCCAGTGAAGTCCTGTCTGGTTGAAATGCTAAATAACCTATTCCAGGGTCCATAATAGTTTCCAGTTCTAATGTCTCTTTTTAACTTCTTCAGCAATATGAATTTTGGTTTCCAACTTTCTTTCTATACTTTATCTTAGTCTTTAGGTGAATTTTTGTTTTGTAAGCTTGAGGGGGATAAACAGACAATCATTTATGAATGTGGAAAGGGGAAAACATGCATAAAATTATAAAAGCTTTATAGCCAGGACAACTGGGTGTAAAATTTGGAGGGTGAAATTCACTTCTGTGCAGAGAACAAACATAACACCTCTCCCTCGTAGACCTACATTTCCCCACCAGCCCCTTACTAATCATAAATTAAATGGAGTATATAGACTTCACCATCAAAGTCAACATCCGCGTTTGAGAGGTTTGTTGCAGGAATTTTCCGCCGTCTCTCTGTATCCAGTTCTGCAATAACCGAGTCGAAGTAAGCTATTGCTTCTCTTACATCTGAATTGGGCTGTGGGACTTTTCCTTCCAGTGATATCTATTGAACAGACGGGTGGGGAGAAAAGCATGCTAAGAACATGGCAGAACTACTTCTCAGTAATCGTACTATGCCAAGCAGAGGAGGGCTCAAATTGCAAGAACTGTATCTGGATTTCAAACAGCTGAAAATTTGATTTGGACATGCAGGTTATTCAGAGTTGGTAGCAAGAAAATGGTTCAATTGTCCAGCAGGTTGGATCTTTTGGTCCCAGTGGGCCAATACCTGATACAGCATGGCCATTTTGGCCACAATTCCTAGAGGAGTTCAACCCCCAATACACTGACTCCTGAAAATCTATCCACTTCTTTTGTTGTCAAGTAGGAGCTGAGGTCTTTGGGCCAGATCAAAAAATTAATCTAGGTGCTCAGCACTGATTTGGGTGTCTAAACTCTTATTACTTGCAGTGAGAGAACTGAGAGCATACTGATTCCCACAGGATATTTTGTCTAAGGGCTACAATTTTTTCCCTCATCTTAGGGAAAGCTTGTGCCACTGGCAGCAGTATGGAGCCACCACTCTGTCATGCTGAGGCCAAGTTTCAGAATCCCAGTTTTGGCTCAAGTAATCTGTTTTAGACCCAGTTCTGACTTTGGGATCTGGATCTCAATTCAAAATTCCCTAAGTTATGTAGGTGTCTGGAGGGAAAAGAACTGAATTTCCACTGAACGGAAACAGGTAGAGAAGTACAAAGCAACATGGCCTTGTGTTTAAAAATAATCCTGTGATCTGTTGATAAAAGTACCATTTAAAAAGTAGACAAATAACCTAGGTATTCTGGGCCACTTCCTGATCCCTTGAGAACCATTTTTTTTCCTTTATGCCAGTGCTATGGAGCTGTGACTCTACCTTTTGTGTTAGTGAGAATGCTGATGTCATATATTATCTGTTTATGAGCAGGAGGCTGAAAGAGTTAGCACTTCA